GTGTGTGTGTGTGTTTGTGTTTGTGTGTATGTGAGTGAGTGTGTGTTTGTGTTTGTGTGTATGTGAGTGAGTGAGTGTGTGTGTTTGTGTGTATGTGAGTGAGTGTGTGTTTGTGTTTGTGTGTATGTGAGTGAGTGAGTGTGTGTGTTTGTGTGTATGTGAGTGAGTGAGTGTGTGTGTGTGTTTGTGTTTGTGTTTGTGTGTATGTGAGTGAGTGAGTGTGTGTGTTTGTGTGTATGTGAGTGAGTGAGTGTGTGCGTGTGTATTTGTGTGTATATGAGAGTGTATGTGAGTGAGTGTGTGTGTGTGTGAAGGTTTCCTAGTGATGAACTCTACATCAGTGTTCTTAAAAGTTTTGTTTGACCCTCATGACCTCTGAAGAGGGTCAGATTCCCTGCAGTTTTCTATTAATCCGATAGTAATAATCATTGAGTGTAACACTACAGTCATGTTATACAGCACACAGGAGCACAAAATAAAGATCAAAGTATAATTATATAAACATGCTCCAGAATGGCTAACTGGGTTACAGATTAAACCTAAATGAAGCTGTCTCTGTTAGTTTGGGTATTAATGTTGTTTTTAAATGTAAAAAAATTGTGAAATAGAATGAGATTATTGTGAGACGATGACATGTTTTTCTCGTCATGTTCAAATGATGAACCTCTGAAGGACTTGTTTTATAAGATGGACCCAGAAAAACCTTTTCAATTTCTTTCAGAAGTAAATCTAAAGAATCGTTTATAGAGTTTTATGTACAAAACTTTTTATAATTGCTTTATTTTATTTTTGTATTTTGTATTGTGTACTACTGTATTATTTTTCTAATGTATAATCTGTGTTTGCCATGAAATAGCTTGTGAAGCTGATGTGGCAATAAACTTAAATCTTCACAATTAAATTTTTAAAGTGTGTGAAATCATGTGCTAATAGGGTTGTGAATTGCAGCTTAATATTATTTGTTGTGAATGAGATGGTGTGAGAATGGCACTGATGGATGTGTGTTTAATGTGGGATGTGTTCAGAGGTCAGTGCTCCAGCATCAGTGTGACGGCGCTCTCTGCTGGACGCTGAGGCTCACGACGCATTCACATCCACTGACGATGATGATGTGATGATGATGGTTGTGTTTCAGGGTGTGTGTTTGCAGCTCACGCTGTGAAGTTTGAGGTGATGGATGGAAACTCCACCTGCATTAAAGCAGATCTCAACGCCAGCTTCAGCATCACCTACAACACCACCAATGGAACGGTACAATACACACTCATATACACACACACACACACTCATATACACACACACACACTCGTATACACACACACACACACACTCGTATACACACACACACACTCGTATACACACACACACACTCGTATACACACACACACATATACACACACACACACACACTCGTATACACACACACACACACACACTCGTATACACGCACACACACACACACTCGTATACACACACACACTCGACGTGTGTTTCTCTCGCAGTGCTCATGACGGTGATGACGAACGCGACGGAGATCTCAGCGAGGTTAAACAGCACCTACAGGTGTGTGAGCTCCAGCACCGTCAGTCTGAGCGCCGAGGTCAACCTCACCTTCTCTGATGTGCGCATGGAGGCTTACATGCGCGGAGCTAACCTCAGCACAGACGGTACCTTCTTGACACTGAATTAAGTGCCGTTTTACACGTTCTTGTTGATCCCACATCATATGTTGGTTTCCCAGCATGCACAGTGGCTGGATGTGAATGAATCATCCCTTGGGTTCTTTTCTGGAAAGTGGTCATCATCAAAAAAAACGGAGCAGTGTTGTTAACGAAAACTAATAAAAAAATATATATTTTTAATTCAAATATACGGCTAACATAATAAAAGAAAAACATGGAGATAAAAAAATGAGAAATGTTACCTTGTCAGGTAACTGAAATATAATAATTCAAATGAAACTACTAAAATGACTAAAACTAGTGAAATAATAATAAATACAGAACCAAAAGTAATAAAAACGATAAAAGGACATAAAATCTAAACTGGCGTAAAATGTCATTAAAACTACAAAAAAAAAAAAAAAAAAAAAAACAATGACAAAAGCACACAACTAAAATGAAAACTGAAATAATTCAAAGCTAATTCAATATCTTTATTTTGTTTTTCATAACATGACAATGTTGATAACAGTTGATGACAATATGTCTATAATAATAAATATCAGAAATGGTTCTCAATCTGTCATTTTTAAAAATACTGAAAGGACAAGTTGTACGAGTCAAATAAAAATAAAATGAAAAAAACTGATTAAATGTCATGGGTGTCTCTTATTGTAAATGTCCTGTTAGTTATATTAGTGACAATCAACATTGATCTGAATAATGACTCTATTGTCTACTGTAGAGCTGCTTTACAGCTGATAGTGAATTAGTTTTGATGAATTTTGCAACATGAACCGTTATTTTCCTGTTTATGACTGAATCTGGGTGAATTTGTGGCGTGTCTCGTGTGTGTAGAGAGCGTTTGCAGTGCTGATCAGACGGTTACGACCACTGCCCCGACTCAGTCGCCCAGAACCACCGCCGCCCCGTCTCCAGTCCCGCTGCCCGCTCCGGAGCGAGGAAACTATACCCTCACCAACCGCAACGGCACCGCGTGTCTGCTGGCACTCATGGGGCTGCAGCTCAACGTCACGCACCGCTCCAAATCCCTGAACCAGGTGATGCACGCACACACACTTCCTGCTGCTGCCACGTGTTTGACCGCTGCTGACCTTTGATCTGACCCTCCGCAGATGGTCAGCGAGGTCGTGAACCTGCAGCCCAACAGAACTACAGCCTCGGGGTCGTGTGGGTTCACTGTCGCCACACTGGTGCTGACGGAGGATCTCACCAACCTCACCTTCACCTTCACACTGGTGAGTGCGTGTGTGTGTGTGTGTGTGTGTGTGCGTGTGCGTGTGTGTGTGTGTGTGGGAGAGAGTGCGTGAGAGAGTGTGAGAGTGCACAAGAGTGTGTGAGAGAATGCAAGTGTGTGTGTGTGTGTGTGTGTGTGAGAGAGAGAGAGAGAGAGTGTGAGTGTGCGCGAGAGTGCGCAAGTGTGAGACGCAGCTGTATTTTCAGCATCATTCCTCCAGTCTTCAGTGTCACATGATCTTCAGAAATATATAGCTTTAGTTTTATTTTAGTAATTTACAACATTCATAATAACAGTAATCTACGTTTCTAATTGTTTTAGTTTTTTAATCTAATATTTATTGTATTTCAGCTAACCAAATTGATTCTAATAGTTCAAATTAAGAATTACAATTTTATTTGAGCATTTAAAGTTGTAATTATCTTTGATTATAATTAATATTTTGTTCAGCATTTATTTTCTTGTTTTTAGCATTTTGCATATATTAAAATATAATTTATTTTAAAAAGCTAAAAACTAAATTATTTAACTTTTTAAAAATAAAACTTCAAAGGCTAAAAAATAATAATTTATAATAGTTCCAGTTAACAATAACAACACTGGACACTGAGTTTATTATGATCTTTTCATTTTTTTCAAAGGTGTTTGCATAAATTATTTAAATTAGTTTTGTAGACAAATATCAGCTATGCTTTTATATATATATATATATAAGCAACACTCTAGCAACTAGCCAAACCAACCTAGCAACCACATAGCAACCACTCCGAGTACCCTAGCAACCACATAGCAACTACCCTGGGTAGCCTAGCAACCACATAGCAACTACCCTGGGTAGCCTAGCAACCATCATAGCAACCACTCCAAGTACCCTAGCAACCGCATAGAAACACCCTAGCAACTATCCAGAGTACCTTAGCAACCACCTAGAATACCCTAGCAACCACTCTGAGGTCCTTATCATCTATCTATCTGTCTCTGTATTGCCTTCAAAACATTCAAACTTTAAGCTTTTAAAGCTACTTTAAACTTCAAGCTGTTTCAAACTGAAAACCGTTCAACTTAAAACTTCTTTAAACTTTTCAAAGTTGTCAAACTTTAACAAAGCCAGTTAAAAGTCTTTAGGACTGTAGGAAAAGTGTAGCATGTGCATTAGAGTCACTGAAGTGAAGAGCTGATGAAAAAGCCTTAGTCTGTGAATGAACCTTCAGGAGGAACTCTGTGAGTGTTAGTCACTGAATTAGACCCGCCCACCCTTGCTTTGACCACACCCTCTCTCCTAAACCCCACCCCCTCCATCATAACAGCCAACCCAGAAAACATGATTGACAGGCACAGAGCATGTCTGATTGGCTAAAGAGACTCTTAGTGCTGTTTCATCATTATATATGTTTGCTATTATGAAAACCTCACTTACAGCAGAATTAAGAGCAAAAGTCACTTACTGAGTTTAAGCATAAACTTGCAAAACCTGGTATTATGTCAGGACGTGTGTGTGAGTCATGTGGAGGAAAGCATCCGTGTCACGTCTGTGTGAGGAAAGAAAGATAGAATTCACATTTCAGAGAGTTAGTGTGGGACGCCGCGGCCAGCAGAGGGATTTCACATGGATTCATCCCTATTCTGAGAGCCAACACAAGCGGAAACAGCTTACACATGAACTTCAGTGGTACATTTATAGATATGGAACTAATACACTCACAGTGTTCTGAAATGACATTGGACAGTTTCCCAGAATTAAGAGCAACAATTAGTAATGGTTGATGTTATTGACTAACATACCCAATCAAAGTCTCTTCTGCTCACTTATTTGATAATATTATTTCAGTTTTAAAAAAGCTGTTTTCTATGTGAATCTATATTAAACTGTAATTTATTTCTGTGATCAAAGCTGAATTTTCAGCATCATTACTGAAGTTCAAAAGTTCAAAAGAACAGCATTTGTTTGAACTATCGAGATGAAAAGTCAATCATGACAAAAAGTTGAAATTATGAGATGCTAAGTCATAATTATGTGATGGAAAGGCAAAATTATGAGATAAAAAGTAAAACAAAAATCATAATTATGACCTTTTATTTTACAATAAGGACTTTTTTGTCTCATCATCATGACTATTTTCACAATTTTCAATTTTTCTCATATGGTGTACTATCTCAATTTTGACTTATGTCATGAATATTACTTTTTATCTCATAAGTGGAAATTATGAGATACTACACCATAATTTTGAGAAAAAGTCAAAATTATAAGATTAAAATTCAGAAATATGAGATAAAATGTCTTAATTATAAAATAAAAAGTAAATTATGTCGTCAAAATTATGAGATAAAAGTCACAATTATGAGATAAAGTCAATTATGAGATAAAAAGTCAAAAATATGAGGTTAAAAAGTCAAAAATAATTAATAAACACTAAGTCATAATTATGAGACGAAACATCTTAATTATAAAATAAAAAGTAACAGTTGTGACATAAGTCAAAAAGAGATCAAAGTCAACTATGAGACAAAAAAACTCTAAATTGAGATGAAAAGTAACTATTATTAAAGAGTCAAAATTATAAGATAAGCTAATTATGAGATTCTTTGATGAATCGAAAGTTCAAAATAACTGTATTTGAATAGAAATCTTTTGTAACAAATGACTTTACTGTCACTTTTGATCAATTTAATGCATCCTTGATGAATAAAAGTATTAATTTCTTCTTTTTTTTACAAAAAAACATTTTAAACCCTCATACACATAGTTTTGCTTCAGTCTCCCTCACCGGTGATCAGCGCCTCTGCAGTGGTCATGTGCATCAGGACTCCGTCACTGAGGGGCCAGTTATCAGCGTCCAGCTTCAGGGCCCCGAGGCCCCCGAGAGCGGCCAGTTCCTGCTGGATCTGTTTCCCGGAGATGCACATTTCCCACCGGCCCGTATGGTATCCCAGCGCGTCTCCCACTCCTCCGAGAACCATCGCAGCCTGGAACTTTTCCATGAAGGTGCTGGAGATCCTACAGCATCAGATCGAGCTCCGGAAGGGCCGGAGGACACAGTGAGAGTGTGTGAGCCCAGCCCTCTGTTTACTCCTGCATGGCTTCATCATCTGAACTCGCTCCAGACTTTATCAGCAGCTCTTTGTGTGGCGGCGCTGAGCTGCGATCAGGTGTCTCCTAAAAAGGCAACAGCCGTGGCACCAGGGTAAGAGGGTCTGTCATCTGCTCCAGGACCCTCAGAGCAGTGCATTACTGTCCCACACACACACCACACACTCAAGATCTACTGACGGATTATGCAGCTTATAGTCCAGCTGGATTCTGTTCTTCTCACACTTACAGTCAAGCCAAAAATTATTCAGACACCAGATATAATTTTTTATATTTTTTTACAAGTGGGTGCAGGATGACCATGGACCTCAAAACCAGTCATAAGGGTCAATGTTTTGAAATTGAGATGTTTATCAGCTTTCCATTGATGTATGGTTTGTTAGGATCGGACAATATTTGAAAATCTGGAATCTGAGGGTGCAAAAAAATCTAAATATTGAGAAAATCATCTTTAAAGTTGTTCAAATGAAGTTCTTAGCAATGCATATTACTAATCAAACATTAAGTTTTGATATATTTACGGTAGGAAATTTACAAAATATCTTCATGGAACATGATCTTTACTTAATATCCTAATGATTTTTGGCATAAAAGAGAAATGTATAATTGTGACCCATACAATGTATTGTTGGCTATTGCTACAAATATCCCCCAGCGACTTAACACTGCTTTTGTGCTCCAGGGACACAGATGTAATTCAGTCGGGGACGCCGCTGATCTCAACAGCAGCACACTCACAATATGTGCAAAAAAATCTAAATATTGAGAAAATCATCTTTAAAGTTGTTCAAATGAAGTTCTTAGCAATGCATATTACTAATCAAACATTAAGTTTTGATATATTTACGGTAGGAAATGTACTAAATATCTTCATGGAACATGATCTTTACTTAATATCCTAATGATTTTTGGCATAAAAGAGAAATGTATAATTGTGACCCATACAATGTATTGTTGGCTATTGCTACAAATATCCCCCAGCGACTCAACACTGCTTTTGTGCTGCAGGGACACAGATGTAATTCAGTCGGGGACGCCGCTGATCTCAACAGCAGCACACTCACAATATACAAACTCTCTCTGTGTATTTTAAATGCATTTCTTGTTTTTTTATTGAAAAAGTCAGTGTAGAGGGACTCGGCCTCCTCATCAGCGCTCGTTAGAGAGTCTTGTGTTTTCCCGTCATCACGATCGGCCGAGCGAATTCCACAAAGTCATCGATGAGCACCGGCCATGCACCTGATGACAAAACACAATCACCATTAACCCACTGAATTCATGTCATGACTGACAAAGCAACGAGTCATGCTTCTATACGTACACACTACCAGTCAAAAGAAGTCTCTTCTGCTCACCAAGCCTGCATTTATTTGATACAAAATACAGCAAAAGCAGTAATGTTGTGAAATATTTTTACTATTTAAAACAGCTGTTTTCTCTGTGAGTATGTGTTAAACTGTGCTGTATTTCTGTGATGCGCAGCTGTATTTTCAGCATCATTCCTCCAGTCTTCAGTGTCACATGATCTTCAGAAATCAGTATAATATGCTGATCTGCTGCTCGAGAAACATTTAATGTTCAAAAACTTTTGACTGGTAGTGTAAGTCGCTCTGGATAAAAGCATCTGCCAAATGCATTAATATAATGTCTTTGTGAACAATTAATCAGTGCATATTATTCTAAAAAAAATACATAAAATAGACACGTTTCAGTCTGAAATAGTGAAGCTGATGAATCAGACTCGCCCTCCTCGTCGTAGTTGCACATGTCATCTGCGATCATGTTTCCGAAGTCCAGCAGCAGGTTCCACGTGTCTTTAGTGATGGATTTTTTATGATGCTCCTTTACAGAAACAAGACGGATGAGAAGAAAACCACCGTGGGTTCATCAGAAACCTCTTAATGCAGAATGAATCGCCACACAGGTACGTGAACAGGCGTGTTTGAGAGAGCAGAATCACACGCTGCATTCTCAGCCTTGACTCTTAATACTGTGTTGTTAGCTGAATGATCCACAGCTGTGTGTTTTTGTGTTTAGTGATAGTTGTTCACGAGTCCCTTGTTTGTCCTGAACAGTTAAACTGCCTGCTGTTCTTCAGAAAAACCCCCAGCTCCTGCACATTCTTTGGTTTTGCAGCACTTTTGTGTATTTGAACCCTTTCCAGCTGTGACTGTATGATTTTGAGATGCATCTTTTCACACTGAGGATTTCACCCCCGGCTCTTGATGCATGGTTTCTCCTTCTGGAGCATCAGCGAGCGTCTGAAGCTTCTGTAATAAAGGGTGTAAACTTTTGACCTCAACTGGTTTAGTTTAGTATGTCGATCAGATCAGTGATGCAGTGAAAGTGTGTTTTGCGTGTTTCCACACAAGCGTGAGTATTACAGTGACATGAAAAGCTTGTGGTTTGTGATTATAATTATTTAATAAGTGACGTACCAGAAGGAAAGTGCTCCAGAGGTCGAGGAACTTAAAGCGGCCGGTCAGAATGAGATTCCAGTAGGCCACGGCCATCTCCAGATCTGAGACAGAGCAAGACACCGTGAGGCACTGGCGCAGGGTTCGTGAAGGTCAGTTTAAGAAAATGTAAGGAATAAACTGAATGGAACACAATGTGTCAAGCATTAGCAACTTGTACAGAATCTTCTGATCACACTGCAGAAAGTGCTGCTCTTCCTCTCGTCTTCCAGCGAAACCGTCTAAAGATTCTAACATCAAGATACATTTACTGGAGAAACACAATGACAGAAGATGAGTCGTCTTGTTTTATGAGAAAATGATCAAAATGAGTTCAAAATGGCTCAGAAAAATCAACTTAATTCAAAACGAACCCTAGTGAAAAATAAACATACTTAAATGTATTTGAAATCCATTTATTTCATGCTAAGTATACATTTTCATATTTATGTGCTTAATAAAATGCCCTGCAATTGTACTTTTAGTATACTAAACTGGTAGCTATACTTAAAGTAACAACTAATTTTGCACTTAATGCACTTTAATTGTCCGGAAGTAGTCCAATTAAAGAGATGCTCAGTGTATTTGATTGTGCTAAACTATTGCAAGTATTCTTCAGGTACACGTTAAATAGTTTAAAGACCGATATTATTCCAAGATCATCAAAGGTGACATTAAAACACATTTTAGACTTAATATTAAGAAATGTGCATTGTGCACCAGTAGTACACCAAATACAGTTTAATTATCATTTTTACATCAGTAAGTCTCGAGTTATCTGTCAGTAAATATGTAGGTTCCACGTGTCTTTAGTGATGGATTTTTTATGATGCTCCTTTACAGAAACAAGACGGATGAGAAGAAAACCACCGTGGGTTCATCAGAAACCTCTTAATGCAGAATGAATCGCCACACAGGTACGTGAACAGGCGTGTTTGAGAGAGCAGAATCACACGCTGCATTCTCAGCCTTGACTCTTAATACTGTGTTGTTAGCTGAATGATCCACAGCTGTGTGTTTTTGTGTTTAGTGATAGTTGTTCACGAGTCCCTTGTTTGTCCTGAACAGTTAAACTGCCTGCTGTTCTTCAGAAAAACCCCCAGCTCCTGCACATTCTTTGGTTTTGCAGCACTTTTGTGTATTTGAACCCTTTCCAGCTGTGACTGTATGATTTTGAGATGCATCTTTTCACACTGAGGATTTCACCCCCGGCTCTTGATGCATGGTTTCTCCTTCTGGAGCATCAGCGAGCGTCTGAAGCTTCTGTAATAAAGGGTGTAAACTTTTGACCTCAACTGGTTTAGTTTAGTATGTCGATCAGATCAGTGATGCAGTGAAAGTGTGTTTTGCGTGTTTCCACACAAGCGTGAGTATTACAGTGACATGAAAAGCTTGTGGTTTGTGATTATAATTATTTAATAAGTGACGTACCAGAAGGAAAGTGCTCCAGAGGTCGAGGAACTTAAAGCGGCCGGTCAGAATGAGATTCCAGTAGGCCACGGCCATCTCCAGATCTGAGACAGAGCAAGACACCGTGAGGCACTGGCGCAGGGTTCGTGAAGGTCAGTTTAAGAAAATGTAAGGAATAAACTGAATGGAACACAATGTGTCAAGCATTAGCAACTTGTACAGAATCTTCTGATCACACTGCAGAAAGTGCTGCTCTTCCTCTCGTCTTCCAGCGAAACCGTCTAAAGATTCTAACATCAAGATACATTTACTGGAGAAACACAATGACAGAAGATGAGTCGTCTTGTTTTATGAGAAAATGATCAAAATGAGTTCAAAATGGCTCAGAAAAATCAACTTAATTCAAAACGAACCCTAGTGAAAAATAAACATACTTAAATGTATTTGAAATCCATTTATTTCATGCTAAGTATACATTTTCATATTTATGTGCTTAATAAAATGCCCTGCAATTGTACTTTTAGTATACTAAACTGGTAGCTATACTTAAAGTAACAACTAATTTTGCACTTAATGCACTTTAATTGTCCGGAAGTAGTCCAATTAAAGAGATGCTCAGTGTATTTGATTGTGCTAAACTATTGCAAGTATTCTTCAGGTACACGTTAAATAGTTTAAAGACCGATATTATTCCAAGATCATCAAAGGTGACATTAAAACACATTTTAGACTTAATATTAAGAAATGTGCATTGTGCACCAGTAGTACGCCAAATACAGTTTAATTATAATTTTTACATCAGTAAGTCTCGAGTTATCTGTCAGTAAATATGTTAATAGATTTGAACTATACTTAAAAGTATTTTAAATATATTACTTTTTTACTAGGGAAGGCAAGTTTTCATTCCGCGTTGATAGATATTTGTTCTTGTTTTCACTTCATTCTGTTCAGTTTCTCATAAAACAAGACGACTTATCTTCTGTCATTGTGTTTCTCCAGTAAATGTATCTGATTTAAGGGTATTAAAGCAATAATCCCCGTGAAGCCGTGGTTTACAGTGAATTTATAACAGCTAAGGGGCGTTGTTAGGTTAATTCACTGTAAACCACGGCTTCATGGAGGTTATAGCTTTTATAAAACGGTTATTCCATATACGTAGCAAGGTTTCACAAAATAAAGCAGAGCAAATAAAGTGTAATGATATTAATAAACACAGTATTCTTCCACCAAACAATGTAGCTCCTCAGAAACAGTTGTGGTTGCTACAAAGTGGTTGCCGAGCAACACACAAACGTAAACAAAGGTGTGTGTTACTTTGTAGCGTCATTTACAACAGCTTCGAACACGGCTCAGCCAATCAGAGCCAAGCACCGGAACTCTCCGCTTTATCATTAGATGTTCGCACTTGAAAACAAGACCAAAACACGATCCCTGTGTAGGGAACAGCAGAGCTGATGTTCACTAGACTAATCGCTCACCTAAACCCTTCTGTCCGGGACTTTTGGCAAAGCTAAACGTGAACTGATAGAAGTCTCTGAATCTCCCAGAATCCTTCAGCTCCTGCTCTAGTCTGGGTAAAAGAGTCCTCAGCTCGTCTGGACTGTCACACCTACACAAACCAACACGTGCAAAACACACAGGGATCAAATACTCTATCTGCGTGGAAATAATATCAGACTGCCTTAAAACAGGCTTCGTCATGAGATCTCATTTCTTTTTCTTTGATTATTTCTCTTTGTTGTCTTGTGTAGAGCTGCTTTATAGCTAAAATTGAATTTCAGTTTCATAATTGATATGAAGCATTAATGAATAATTACCCACAATTCTAAATGCATCACAGTTTCCACAAAAATATTGTGCAGCACGACTGTTTTCAACTGATAATAATCAGAAATGTTTCTCGAGCAGCAGATCAGCATATTATACTGATTTCTGAAGATCATGTGACACTGAAGACTGGAGGAATGATGCTGAAAATACAGTCTCACCCCAGCTCTGACATGCCATCCAGGAACTCTTTGCGGCTGAACTCACACTGCGTCGCCGCTCTGAACTTCCAGGCCACGATCAGGACGCTAACGCTGACGGGATTCAGCACGAGGTCGTCACAGAACTGCTGGATCCCTTCGACGCCGATCTTATTCTCATCTTGTGGATCTGCAGACGCAAGCAGCACGAATGAAGGTACAAACACACACACGCACACTCTCACACACACACACACACACACAGGTTTGTTTTTGTGAAAAGTGGGGACTCTCCATAGGCGTAATGGTTTTTATACTGTACAGACCGTATATTCTATTGCCCTACACCAACCCTACCCCTAAACCTACCCCTCACAGGAGACTTTCTGCTATTTCAGATTTTCAATACACTCCATTCTGTGTGATTTATAAGCGTTTTGAAAAGTGGGGACATGGGGTAATGTCCTGAAAAGTCACCTTCTCCTTGTAATACCTGTCATACCTTTGTCATTATACACATTTATGTCCTCATTTGTCACAAAAACG